CGGATTACCCTGGGGAGTCCCGCCACGTTTCTCCCACTTCCCGAGCTTGGCAAGTCCAGAAACATAGCGAGGCCATCAGGGTGCTTACAGAGTGTTTGGGGAACTGCAAGGGAAAATGAAGGGGACATGAACGGGAAAGAAAGGGAAATGCAGGAACATGCAGGGGACAGGAAGAGGAAAGCAAAGGGAAATGGAAGGGAAACGAAGGGGAACTGAAAAAGAATTGAAGGGGAACGGAATGAGACATGCAGGGGGGTTATGAAAGGGAAACAAAGTACGAGGAAATCAAACGACACGAAGGGAGATGTGGGGAAGTGACAGGCAATGAAAGGGACAATGGACCATGAAGCGGACCCGAGGAAATTACAGGGACATAAAGGGGGAATTGAAAGGAAAGGAAGTTGGGACATGACGCGGAAATCATGAGAAATGACGAGGGACATGAAAAGCACATGACGCGGAAATCAAAGGGAAAGCCAGTAGCAAGAGGGAAGTTCTGGGGTCCAGGGGAATGACACGGAAATCGAGGCAACTCTGGGGGACAGGACGCTGCGATGCAAATACAGAGAGAGAGAGAGAGAGAGAGAGAGGCAAAGAGAGAGAGAGAGAGGGGAGAGAGAGAGGCAGCGACCGGGGAGAGAGAGGCATAGAGAGAGAGAGAGAGGATAGAGAGAGGATGGGGAGGAGAGAGAGAGAGAGAGGGAGAGGACGAGGGAACAAAAGGGGGACGGGAAAAGAGGGAGAGGACGAAGGAGAAAAGGGAGAGGCCAATGTCGGCGGAGTGAGCCGGAGGCTCTACAGTATTGAAATGTGTCTCTTGCAGCGGCAAATGCTTGAACATGCCAGGCCTCAACAACCACACGCATGATCTTCACCAGAAACGCAGGATTGAAAGGCTTTCAACTAACTTTGTATCCATTTTCTATCGAAATTTAATGGCTGGTCCCAGCTACAATTCGGAGTCGCAAATAAAGCTTCTGGACAAAGCCGTTCACTGCAACCCAATATGGGCTGGGCATTGACGAATTGCAAAAGATGAAGCGAGGCTTCGTTGATCTGAGGTTTGCACTTGTCGGAAAGTTAACAGTCAAAGGTATACAGGGCTTATATACAAGATTCTAAGATACAAATCAAAAGCAACAAGCCAGGACCCAGAAACACGGCGTTTGCACATGCTACTGCAGTGCCTAAGGCTTGATTTGCGCTGCTTGGAGCAGCCTAGGAAGCCCAAGACCATGAAAATCATTTCACCACGTTGTGATCCTTTACTTGAGTTGGTCCCCATTTCAGAAAGAAAGGCAGTCCCAAATTGCAAAAGCACCCACATCCCAAAAAACGACTGAAACGTAGCAACCGGAGCTTTGGACTGGTCGGCTACATGAGCCCAGATCGGCTCCGGGACCCGTCCGGGGCGGTGAGCTAAGGTTCCACGAGGGTTCCACGAGGTTCTGCGAGGCTGCGGGGTGCGAGCATCGCATGCTGTTGGGGATATCACCTGAGCTTATTGAATAACTACCAGACAAAAGCATGACGCGTCCACACACTACAAATATCCGGACTGAACTGCAGGACTGGAAGATATCTGCGTGACGAACTGGCGCTGCTCCCAAATGGATGCTTGTAATGTCGACCACCAAATTCACCAACCCCAGTTTATTAATAGGGGGGTGTCCATGTCTGGGTTTAGTGGGGAATCAGACCTCTTTTGGAGGGCCGAAAACCTCTCCCTAGTAATAAACTGGCTGGTTGAAACTCATATGGGGGCAACATCACAAGCTTGATCTCAGGCCTCCTTTGGTCAGACTCATTGACCCGGCCTGCAAATGTCCAGCGTTGCGCCCATAGGCTCCGCATCTCTTGCCGTCCGATCGAGTGGAAGCAACCAACTCTGTGGCCATTGCCAGTGCCAAAAGTGTCATTGCGGGTGGGGGGAATGGACATGGGCTTGTCTTGAAATCGGTAATCCCCAAAAGTGGACAGTTTCCCTTTGGCTTCCCTTGAAAACCACTCCACAAAGGGCACCCTCAAAAAAAACGACACTCCCAAATGTTCCCAACCAGTTGAGACCCAACCAGCAAACAGGCCGTGGTTTGAGAGATTTCCGCCCCATCCTTGGACGAGGCTTCACTTGTTAGACTCGCGTCAAACCCGCCGGGTTTGAGATACTGAAGACGACCAGAGAAGCGAATGTTTTGTGGGCGTCACCTCACGTGTTGTCATTGAACCGCGAAGTTCCTCCACAAACGTTGTCGAAAGCGGACCCCCTTTGGTCCGCATTGCAGACGTATCGTTGTCCAAGGGACACCCACAAAACTCCCTCTTCCTTCCCCTCAGTCCGAATGTCTGCGGAATTGAGTCTTCAACTGTGTTGGCCTGAGCGAAAGATCAAGTCTGTGGGCCTGAATGGTGTTTGATGGCCCCTAGCAATGGCCCCCCTTGCTATGGCTCTGGATGCGCTATATCACGGTGGCCATGTCTGTTATGATGCTTGAGTTAAGCTCGCGCTGAAAAAAGGGTTTGCATCCTCACGCCAGGCAAAGCCGCCCAAATCGCCTGTCTACTGGATCTCTGGAGCCGAGACCTCCATCCGGACACGCTCGTTGAATAGCCAGTTCCAGTGGTACCTGGAGGAATTTGATCCGCCCCAACTTTGATGGCCGGGCCTTATACCGTCCGAGTAACATTCCGGTGATTGCCATCAGCTCTCATGACTCATAGTTACATAAATTCGCCTTTCACCAAAGTCGCTGGCAAAAGGCCAGGGATCCATAGATACAAAGAAGCATTTCTCCGGTCATTAGCGCCGTAAGCCGTGGCCAAAGGGGCTGAAACGCAGACGCGAAAACAGATTGCTTTAGTGAAACACACAAACAGCATGAACACATTCCCGTAAAACTCCAATGACGTACTGACCACCTAACTGAGCATCTTGTCTAAGCCTACACGCATTCCCGGTCTCTCCCCCTGGGCCAACAGCTGCCATCAAAGTGGCCAATCATTTGACGGTTCCCAATCACCACTAGAGTGGTAGGGACTGAAAGCTATATTTCTGGAACCCCGAAGTTCAGTAAGAAATGCAATTGCCCCCCCTGGTTATGCCATGCTACAACATCACTGGTCATTGTGCTAGGCAATAGACCCAGGTAAAAGTTGATGTGATGTGCCATTCACAGAGCATGCAAACCGCACTCAAAGATTCTGGCTGGAAGAAAGGTGTATCTTTTGACATTGAGAGGTACCTTCATATTCAAGCACTGCACGGGCCTTTTTTCCATGGCGTTTGATAATATTATGTAAACAGTGGAATCAAACGACAAGCGGGTCCGACCACAGCAGGAAGCTCACTTTAAATCGACAACCTGAGGGGGCGTTTAAAACCACCCTGTAGGTGGTGGTGAGATCTGGTTGTGTGTGTGTGTGTGCGTGTGTATCCTTTTTGGTTTAAGGGAAACTACCCTTTTTGACCCAGGGACCCCAAAACCAAAAGCCCATGGACCCCTTTTCGCCATTGCGCATCTCCTCCAAGGGCACGCCCTTAGAGCGACCCTGTGAAACCATCTCGCATGCCGGACTGATCTGATGCTGAAGCGCTCAAGTTGAAACCGTAAGCAGCTACGGGCTCTTGAAAAGGAATCGATTCCTGGGACCCATCAATGATCATTGGCAGCTACTTGCCTGCCGGCAATGAGCAATTGACCGCCATGATGCGTGCTGGGATGTGTGGCACGACATAAAACACAAGGATATTGGAATGAGCTCTTCAAATGATCCGCTTGTGTGACGCTGACCTCATCAGGGGGCCCTTCATGAACTAAACTCAATTGGACTGCCGCGGATCAAGCCAAGAATTAATCCAATTTCAGCCTCGGCAATCCACGTGTGGTTCATCGCATTGCAAGCGACCTGGATTCAGCGGTTGCCAAGCCTCTGGCGCCTGCGAAATTCAACCGCCTTTTGGAGGGCCTGGTAGGTCTCGAAGAACAACATATCAACTTGTAGGTGGGCAGGGTGAAATCAAGATCAAGCGCTGTTACTCTACCCAGTATATATATATATATATATGGTAGGTTTTTTTTGGGGGGGGCTTAGCATATATGTATATATATATATATATATCTATGTATACATCCATAATATTTACATACGTATAACTAAGTTGAATAAGTGCCCTCCCTGCTTGAACCCTTTCTTCTTGCCTTCCATAAACATGGTCAACAAAACGGGGCTGGCAAGCCAAACTCAAGCTTGTTGTTTGCTGCTTGAGGCATCTTTGCCCCTTGTCACCATGTTGCTGCTGGTTCCAAACTGTAACATGATTGCAACTCTAGTCAAATCCGCATCCGCCCAAACAAGTTTGACACAACAGCACATGAGCTTTTCAATTTGTGAATATGATCGGGCTGGTGTGAGATCTTTGGATACCAATCGCCAAGTGCGACAAGAGCCTGTCCTAACCCCAGAACCCGAGCTCGTCGCTTGCATCGGCCGAACGCCAATTTCTGCCGAAGCGTCTCGTTTGAGACCGGCTGGGCTTCACGGCATCGGCGCGGACTCGGCGCGCTGGCGCGCCGGCGCGGCCCCTCGCCGCGATCCGGATCAAGAAGGAAGCAGCAGGGGCCCAAGCGGAGTCTTTGCCACAGACCCCTTCCCTTCTCATGGAATTCTCACATGGCTTCAAGGATCGGTTTGCTTCAGTGGCACAGGACTTGCTGCAGACTCAAGGAGAAGCTGGAAGCAGCCTGCGCGCTGATTTGGAGGATGTGGACTCATTGCCACCATCTACAGCAGCTCGCCTGCCTTCCCTTTTTAGACATGCCCATTGCAAATACCATGCTAAAGAGCAAGACCTCCAATCCAGCGCTAGCCAGCCTTGTTCGATCTATGCCGTGGTCAAAACGCCAACGGGTGGCCAATATGGCCACTACTCGCTAGAATTGCCTACGAAGAAGATATGGAACGGACTCCTTAAGGTTGGTTGGGGGGTTGTGGTCTTCGTGGATGACCATCCGCGCACATTTCATAAGATACACGCCCATCAACACGAGCTTCCCAATTCTGACCACGGCCACTGGGCCCGGACTGTGGGCTTAGCTAAAGAATGGCGCGCGAGGGCAACACAAGCGGAGCCATCGCACGCGAGCAAGAGCTGGCAGTGAAGTTCTATCACTCCTGCTCCTGGTTGTCTAAAGCTTCCTCCGCCCTGGCAAGAAGTGGCCCTTGAGTCCATATCCCAAACCCAAGGACCCTATTTGAGATTCCGGATTCAACCATCTTTTGAAGCACTGGTGTTCAAGGCACCAGCCATGAGAGCAACCGCGACACTTCATGAACTTCATTCCTCATCCAAACCGCAGAAAGCACCAACAAAAAGAGCCGCTTCAAATCATGCAAGTGGACAAGGACCGGCTTCAAAAGGATTGTAGTGCTCCCAAACCCAGCTGTCCACTTCCATGACCAAACAAAGGCAAACGTTGGTATCCCAAGTTCAAAGTATATTCATCTGTGCGTGTTTGTCATAATCATAACTCCGAAACCTAAAATACTCCATGTAGAGGACTTATGCCACTATTGCACTCTTTCCACCAGAATCGGTGAGATCGAGTCGCATAACATGGAAGATGGGTGGGGCACATCTCCAGGGGCACATCTCCAGGTGTTTTGGCCCCTGACACTGGGCTCCCTGCATGTCCCCTTCAAATTTACCCAAACGGTAATGTTCAGAGCCCCCAAAAGGAGGATGATGCGTGTGCCTTTCTTTGATAGTACCCTTTGTGGAGTTGGTTTTGAAGGAAAGCCACAAGGAAACCAACCATGCTTTGGGGTCAAGAAAAGACACACCCAAAAAGGGGACCCCTGCCAAAAGATCGTCGGGTCCAAACAGGTCCAGCCGACTCCTTCTCCAGGATGACCTGGCAACTCAGCGAATCGGCCCAAGGATTCGGCAAGCGCAGCCACGAAGCCGGGCGCTGTAAAGCGTGAAGGCTGCGAGATCATGAGGCAATGACCCAAGCAAAGCAAGAAGCAAATCAATGACATGCAAAAACACATTGAAGCAACAAAAAGAGAGAAAGAGAGAAAGAGAGAAATAAAGAAAAAATCATGAAAGAGCTAAAGAAAGAAAGAAAGAAAGAAAGAAAGAAAGAAATAAAGAAAGAAAGAAAGAAAGACAAACAAAAAGAACAAAAGAAAGACATTCACAAAGACATTAATAAAGAACTCAAGATCCACCTAATCAATCTAGACATGGAATAAGTCGAAGAGTTTATCCAAGAGTTCACCTTAACCCCCAAAGCTCCCAATGGCTTTCTGGTGATCCAGTTCCTAGGAAAGCAGCCATAGGTGCCCTTTGTCGGAAAATAGATGAGTTTCCCTGGTAGTCGATTCAAGCACCAGGTAAACCAGGAATCGCCCTCTATTTGTCAACCAAATCAACCAAAAAGGACACCTATGAAAGCAGCCGAGACAGCTGAGTCAATAGCGTGTAAGGGCCTGAATAATAAGGACCGGTTGTGACCATGAGAACTATATGCGTAATGCTTCAGCCCCTGGTATTCATCATTGCGGATTTGCTTTGGATGAGCCCAGGGTGGACAGCTCCTGGTAATGAAAATCAACCCGAAAGAACAAAAACACTGCACATCGTGTGTACATCTAATGTAAGACCGCAAGGGCATCTGCTCAAACAGCCAGAAACCTTAGTTGCTCCAACATAGGTGCCATGGTAAAAATCACGGGCCATAAGCATGGTTCCCTTCAATTAGGATTCTTGCCATGGTTGTCGAAATTCCCTTGTGAGGCTTCAAAACATATCCCTGCCACAGCCTAGTTTAAAGGTGCTTAGCATGGCACGTGTGTGAGTCCCGGTCAAAACCTGCGGTGGCAACAGTCACGGTCATCGCTTCCTTCCTAGGAATTCCCCAGTCATATTTGTTTAAAACAAAAATGCACAAAACCATATTCAACCACTGCTAGCACTGCTAACTAAGTAAAGTTCTAGGGGTACCTTCCCCATTCCTTCCAGGGATCCTTCTTTCTAAAAAACCATCAAACCCTGGGGAAGCAGCTGGTGTTTGAAAAGAACGATGGTTGAAAAGAATGGGGAATCAACCCCTAGAAAAGTGAGTCCTCCGATTATGAAACACGTGTTGAAACACCGCGCCATGCCTGCCAGTGCTTCTCCACAAGCTTCAGCTTGTTCTGCAGCTTCCTGAGCAACAAAGGGTGTGCCCTTACGGGGTGTTCCCTTACTCCCACTTGCTCCCTCGCAAACTAACGGAAGGAAGCCAAAAAAGGACCCCCCCAAAAGAAGGTTCCACTGACAATGATGCTTTGTTGGGCTCCATGTTTATCTCGCAAGTAGGAACTTGGCGCTGGTTCCACTCTTGTGACTTGTGGTATGATCACCAACGGCCCATGAAAAGTGCGTTCATCTCCCTCAGCGGGTAAAAGGTGGTACAACGACACGTGGCCATCAAAATGATGGCTGGGCGGCGGTTGAAAGGGGGCCTTTCGAGGGGTAATTGTGTGAGTAGAACGCTTTCAGCCGTGACAACTGCGGGCACTTGCAAACAAGAAGCTACAGGAATTCGAGCTGGGCCTTGTTTTGAAAGGATCTTGTTGCTTACTTCAAGTGGCCCCACTGCCTGAAACACAAGAAGTGACTCTGCTTCAACTATGGCTGGCAAGCAGCGCAATGTCCACCGGTGCCCAGCAAGCTTCTGCTCATGGAAGGTTGACACTGCAGTCATTTTGTGCTGCGTCATTGCTTCACATGGATTGTGTCTTTGCATCCGGCCGCCCAGCCACCTCAAAACGACGGATGTTGATTTGCTCCGGATCCAAAACATCTAGAAAGGCATTCCAAGACTTGACAATCAAATATTCTTGCCCATTCCCTTCCAACGACATGAGAAAGTGGGGGCAGGCATCTTTTTTGCCTTCTCTGCACAGTGGACCCAAAATCTCAGCTTTTGTGCCCAAAACACCATCTTTAGATAGGTGTATCTTTTTCTAGGGCACCACCAAACATGGTTGGCTCCCATTTGGTTTCCCTTAAACCAGCCCCAACAAGAGCACCCTGAAAAAAGACACTCCCAGATTCCAGAAAATCGGGTCCCTGCCAGTTCTTTGCCACAGCTCTTGCATGGCCCCCTCTTCGCCTCCGATGTTTTTTTCTGGGGCGCAGGCTGCATCAGGAAGTTCTGCTCTGCCATCTCATCCGCCAACTTCTTCACCTCTCACTTGCCAGGGTTTGGGAACAGGGCTGTGGGAAATGGAATCCACCACTGTGATACACCAAAACGGGCTTCCCAAAGACGTTCAACCCCCCATATACAGGTTGGGAGATTCGCGAAGATATCACAGAAGTGGGTGGAGAAACCCCGAGTGATCCCAACACCCTGTTTGGGAATGAACCTGGGATTGTTGAAGGGATGGTTGATATGGGTCATTCCCCAATTCCCTGCTGCAGACCAGCAACGTAAGCTCGCCCCCCAAGGGGACATGGTTGCATGAGACTCGCCTCCTGTACAAATTCAAGGCAGGCAATCAAGACAGCAAGGCAGCAAGCAAGCGAGCAAGCAAGCAAGCGGGCAAGCAGGCCCGGCAAGCAGGCAGCAGGCAGGCACGCAAGCGAGCAAGCAGGCGCAGTGAAGAGGCAAGCAGGCAAGCAGGCAGGCAGGCAGGAAAGCAAGGAGAGCAGGCAAGCAGGGAAGCAGGGAGAGCTGGCAAGCAGGGAAGCAGGCAAGATTCAAGCAAACAAATAAGCTAACAAATACAGAACAAGCAATCAACCAACCACAGCACAACCAAACAAGCAAGGCCAACTCCATGAACAAAGACAACAAATGCGTCAAACAAACAAACAAACAAACAAACAAACAAACAAGCAAGCAAGCAACCAGCCAACCATTCAACAAGCCAGCCAGCCAGCCAGCCAGCCAGCCAGCTGGGGAATCAGGAGTCAAGCAAAGGTTGGCAACACAAACTCGACTTCGACCATAACTTTTCCAAACAAAAATCGCTGGGTGCCAAATGGGTCTCTTTTTTGCGGCTACCCCGTTTGGGGTTGGTTCAAAAAGGGCCACCAAAAGCCCAAACTGCTAAGAACCCGGAAAAAAAAAGGAGACCCGATTCGAACTTCCCGAACGGACGAAAAAATGCACGAGGCAAGCCCCCCCCCCAGAGCTGAGGCTCTTGGATCCCAGGCAAATCAGAAACTACCATCCCTCTATCACTGCTGTGGGAAGGTGCCAAATGGGTGTGGCTCAAAATTAACCAGGAGGGGCAAACCGCAGGTTTTGGTCCATCTTTTTGGGGCCCCGAGGCCGGCGCCCACTCCGAGCCCGGGCCATCGTCTCCGCCCTTCTCCAAGGTGCCATCGTGCAAGGCTGAGACCTGGAGACGACTTACGCCACGAAAAGCCGCCACGCCCGGAGCGCGGAGTTTAGGAGACACGCGCCCGGAGCCCGGCTGGGAGCGGTGTTCATAGAATTTGGGGAGACGCAGTGGAGACGACTCGCAACGCCCGGCTGAGGGTGCTGTTTAGAACTTGGGGAGACGCCTCTCAACCTAGCCGAAGATCTCAACCTATCTGGCCTAAGTAGACCAGCTCTAAACGGGCTTCCTTTGGGATTCCCATATAAGAAAACCAACCACTCGGGTGCGAAGGCGACTTTGAGAAACTCCCAAAGACCCATGTCCCTCCATGTACTAACAACCAGTTTGCCAAGTAGTTTAGTAACTAACCGCAAACAATTTGGTCAGAGTTGCAGTTGAACTTCCATGATGAATGGCATTTGTAGGGGAGGCTAGACAGCCGACTGAACAAACAAGGGTCAGGACATAGGAAACTTGGTGGGTTCTCATTGGGGAATGAGGACATTCATCAAGTGTGCTTTTCAGGGGGACCCCTAGGTGGATTCCCCAAAAACACTCATGCGGCCAACCTTCGCAAGTTTCACCCTGAACAGTCCAGCTTCCGTGACGGTCCGGGGTGGCAAACCAGCGAGAAAGCAAGGGCCCGAAGAGCCAAGTGGGAATGTGCCAAACACTTACCCGCCAAAGGAGTGGTTTCCCACACACACACACACACGCGCACACACACACACAAGTCCTCACCAAAAAACTCTAGACCGATAAATTGACAAAGATCTTAAAGGCTGGATCCCTTGCCCTCATTAGGTGACTTGTGCCTTCCCTGTGAGGGAGGCTCCTTTTGGTTTCGAAGGACGAGCTAGAAACCTCACATTCTACGGTTCCAACCCCAAAGTGCTCGCCCGTTCTAAGTGCAGCGCCGTCTCGGTCACCTGGGAGCACGGGCGGAAAGGTTGGCATTGCATTGACCTTGTTTGGATGAGCCGTTGGGTTCTAAGAAATGGCTTCCTTTCGGATGCCACACATCCTTTTTGCATGATGCCAGGTTGATAAGACGTTTAGAGCCCTGCTTAGAGCTCCCTGAATCGTGTTGGGAAACCAAGAAGAATCACCAGAGGTCCAAGAAAGCGCTCAGAAGCGCTTCATCATGCTTCCGTTTGGGACCACACCGCATTTCACAAGAGGCCTATGGGCTCCAGATTTTCGCTGACCTATTTAGTGTACAACACGCTCCAGTGTCGAAACTCAGCAACAAAGACTACTGTATAGGAAGGGTGCCCACTCCCAGGCAAGCCAATGACATGTCCCCTGAACATCAACTTCGGTCAGACCCAAATGAACGAATTTCCTCGCCACAATATGCTGACCAGCCTGCAGTCCGGAAAAACAGTCCCAATACTCTGTGTTGTTCCCGTGATCAAGGCCAAAAACTCCATGAGTTCCTGTCAAACCTGCCACATGGTGATGGCTCGGACGGCATTGAGAGTGGTAAAGCATGTCCATGTGCTTTTATCGGCGCCCCGAAAAGGTAGAAACCAATTTCAGTCATCACAACTTGCTCTGGCTTTTCATCCCACTGAAACAAAAAGACTTGCCCAATTGAAGCAAAGAAAAGAGCAGATTGGAAGTCCTCTGTGAAACATCCGTCCAAGGGCGCCTTGTCGATGGCAAGTTTGCAGGAGAGCGCCATCTTCATAGCCCTGGCAGTCAAACAAACAAGGAAACACAAAAATCAAAAACAATTAAAATTAATCCACAACAAACCAGACCAACCAACCAACCAAACAAACAAATAGAATAGCACTGGCAATGGTGCATGCTCTTCCACTACTGCAGGTTGTCTTTTAGAGAGTGCCAACAAATATCCCCAAGTCATTGTGTTCACAGTTGACATACAGCTGCTGGTCCGTTCATTTACAGTAAGTAAACAGGAATGGGATTCCCTAATTCTGGCATGATCTTGCCAGATCTGCGACGATCCAGCTTCCTTTTGTGAAAATGGTGGCTTTCAGGTGCTGCGTGAGATTCTGGGAGAAAGAAACAAGCATACACAAAATAACCCTGGTTGACACATTTGCGAATTTGAGGCCTCATGCCCATCCATGAAGTGAAGACCAAACTGTACTTCCGCAAGCATGGCAGTACTCACGCATAAACGCCTGTAAGAGCCTGCCGGCTTGGGACAAGCGCTTTGCGAGCCCAATGCTTGTGGAACAACACTTGCTTTGTGATTGTTGGCTTCTCCTAGAACTGACCGTGAATGATGGGAGACCCAATGATCCGGACCGAACGAGGCCGTCTTTTAAGCAAAGCTCATATAGTCGACAAAAGGCACGCTTCAAGATGATAGGCGTTCCAACAAAAATGGCGAAAACAAAAACACTCTGAGGGAAATGTTCAAGATTCAAGCTGACCTTTTGCCTAGGGGCTCGAGGATTTACTTTTTTTTTTATGTTGTCTGTGTCCTCGAGCTTTTGGCCAATGATCGGCAACAAGATTATCCGTGCCTTGAATCTGACAGAAGTCGCACTTGTGCTCAAAGTGTTTGATTGTCAGGTGGCCAATATAGTTTTCTTGTGTTTCCCACACTTTCCTCGCGTGTTTGCATTAGCTAATCTATGGGTGCCTAATATGTATTTTCTCGTTGCTTTCCAAAGTGTACCCGTGCATGCCTGGCATATGTACTGTCTAGCATGTGACATACTTCTAGCGTGACCTTAGAAGATGCCTAGAACGCATTTACCATCACGTCTAGTATGTTTCTAGAAGTTTTGGCATGTATCACGTGCGTTCCTATCATATAATGTCAATCACATTATGTGCAGCACAGTTGTATCGCACTCCTATCTGGTATATGCGCTGCATATGTTCAACAAAGACTTCGCTTAATCCTATCACACTTCCTGGCATTATCAAGTGTATCTCTTAATGTGTCTGGCTTAGTTTCATTGTATTTCCAGCTCAATTCACAAACACCCACATACTCACACAAGACAGCATGTGTTAAGCCCTGTCCAGGCAGCCTATTCTTGACTTGATTGGCTTCTGATCAGTGTCTTCTACTAAAAATCGATTTGGAAGCTTCCAAGATTCCAGCAAACATGTTTCTTAACCATGGAACATCGAGCTGGCAAACTTGGCCTCAGGCAAAGCAACTAGGTGTTCGTTCAACACACACCCAATTTGAGCCATGAGCGGAATGTGGGGGCTCCGCCTGAAATCCAAGCGTCCCGCTCAACAAAACTGTCCCCTTCCTTGGCATGTGAGCAAAAAACGTTGTTTTGAAGCTACCCACTAAACAAAAGGCATGCCCGGGGCCAAAACGTGAAGAAAGAAGATGCCGGCCACAATTTGCCGCCTCTGGCCACCCGCGGCTGCCAGGTCATCCATAGTAACCTGCCGTCCGTTGTCTCGGAGTGGCATTTCTGGCGAACAACGGCTCCCAGTGGGGGTCCTGTGGAAAAAAATAACGTCTTTTTGTCAGGTGCTGTTGTTTTTGCCATCGTCAAAAATGCAGTAAGGCATGCCTCTCTTGGGTTGCTGAATTGAGCAGGGGGCCCCGCCACCACTCCTTGTCATGGGAAAACCGAACCGTTGGACACCAAAGGATAGGGTAGATGCCACAGCATGTCAGAAGTATGCTGCGGCTCCCGCAACCGAGAAAATCAAAGCCACCCAAGTTTGCTTGATTTAAACATGGAGAAAAACAAAGCCACCCATTGCCATGTTTGCTTGACTTTAAAATGGGCCTACCGCAATAGAAGCGCCCAGGACTTTGGCGGGCCAAGGCAATAATTGTCCGGCCTGGAAGTGGCAAGCCTCCATGAGGATCTGCAGCTGCTCCTTGGCAAGCCAGCCATAGTCACTACTCGGCTGCTTTCTGCTCCCCTGCTGAAAGTGACCAACTTTTAGTGGTTTAATGGAAAACCCACTAGTTGGCAAAAAAAATAAGTCCCAACATCCAAGCAAAATGCACCAAAGACTACTAAGGCTGAAATCCGACCAAGCGGTCAAATCAATTGTCCCGCAAAAGTCTCTACAAATGGCCGTGGGTCAAAACCAATGGTACCATTTTGGGGTAGGTGTACCACCAATTTTAGCCTATTTTAGTGGGGATTGGGATGTTCACTGGGGGTACGGGTTTTGACCCATGTACTTGGGTTTGCGTGTCAATTGACAGAAGAGTACAGTACGGACTCCAGTTCCCCTCACAGGCTGTACTGTACTCAATGGAAATAGAGATCATCTATAAGACTGCTGTGCTCGATGACGGAATGGAGATAACCTACGTCAGACTGTCTTCCAAAAGAGGGTGTCGTCTCCTTCAGGAGGTCCTTCTGAATGATGTATGCCAAGCGCTTAGATACTCATGTCCCACACCAAACCACAATGGTACCGTCTGCGGTGATTGGTCCATGCCAGATGCGCGGATTTCCAAGTGGGCGAGATCCCAAACCCATGGAACCCTCCGTCGCGCAGAAAAATATATTCCTGCTCGGGTTGATCAGCTTTGCCGGAAGCAACTGGGTCTTTTCGCCAAAGGAACGTGCGATGGAACTGGAAAAGCTTTGGGATCCTAAAGTCGCGCAGCCTTTGGCTCAAAGAGCTTCGGATGATGCGAGAAACGCTGGTTGCGTGGTGCCAGCCTAGGGAAGCCTGAAGCAAGCTCCCAGTGAACAGCCCCCTTCAGAAACGCACAAGGAAGAACCTGGTCGTTGCTACGGTCAAGGTTCTGTGCTCCTTTCAGAGATCCACCAAATGTTGACCCACCCCGCAGAATGACTCTACTACACTCTCGGCAACGAACATGTAACCTGACTGGAGCTTCCTAAAGACCATTTCTCTCTAAAAGGGGCCTTCTGCTGGGCTCCATGTTTGGTGGGAACACAATCACTTGACCCTGGCTGAAAGGAGGCTTTGGGACCCCATTCCGTTGGGGATATACGGCAATTTGACAGCTTGGGCCAACATGGGCCAACCAACCACCTGGCTTTACTTTAAACATGCTTGACAACCACCTGCTTTTTTTTTTGGACATGTTTGAACAATTGTTTAAGCACGAGAGCCACCGCCAAAATCATTGTGCCAAACTGGAATATATCTAAATCCTTCGTTTTGCAGACCCGCCTTTGTTTTTCAGGGTTTATGGTCACATACGGATCCATCGCTTTGAACAGGACACCTTCGTTGTGGTTTTGCTCCTCCTCCCAGCTGGAAACACAGTGGTGGAACATTGGTGTGTGCTTCAAATCTGGGAACCCATAACGGAGCCCGGTGTTTCTTTGGTCTGCCTTTAAAACAATCCAAGAGGGGAACCCTCAACAAACAACTCAAAAACAAACACACACACACACACACAGACACACACAGACACACACAGACACACACACACACACACACACACACACACACACACACACACACACACACACTCACGCACACCCAGGAGGGGACCCTGAGCGGACCGAATTCCCTGCTTGGCTTTTGGCGTTTGGCGTTCGCAACAAAGGTCTCCTGGTCCGTAGCTCAGAGTGACCGACGCTGAGGCTCCGACTTTGCACATCTCTGGGAATGTGTCCTCAGTGGGCACACGGAGCTACGGCAGATTCACTCATGCACACTGCCAGACTGTCAGACCACTCCCACCCAACAAGCGGGTTTCTCCAGATTGGGGAAAACCTCCCAACCTCCCAGCATTCATGGTGTCCTTTCGTTCTCTCTTTAAGCACTCAATACACACTGCAAACTACCCTTCGTACTCCCTTCCGGCTTTCAATTCGTCACAGGCTCTAGTGCCTCTTACAAACTCGAATCACCTGATTCAACGTCAAGATTGCAACTCATGTTGTCATCCGAAAGGCCAACATGCGCAACCGAACTTGTTGATATCTACTCTTCATCCCACTGACCAGGAATGTCTGACTGCTGATTCAGAGACTCTGGTTGTGAGAAACACGCCAAGCACCAGCACGGCCCGCTAGGAGCCCCGCTAAGATATCATTTTGCTTGATCTCATCTGGCATGGTTGGCAAGGCCTGCGATCGTCACCCACCAAAACGGGCGGATGAAATAAGGTCCAACTGAGAAAATGGGTCGCAAGACCAAACTGGTGGTCTGATTGGCGAACACATGTGGCTTAAACGTGCCTCACAAGAAAACGATTCGTGCATTGATGCCTTGTTCAGATACGTACCGGTATCCTTTGGTCGCGGACCATACTGTTGCTTGCTTGCTTACATTGCATGGTCTCCTCTCGCAGGGGCAAGGCGCAAGCTGCACTAGAAAGAGGCCGCGCCAAACTGCCTGGAGCGCCCTTCGTTACCGAAATTTCAGCCCTTGGACCAAACGCATTGCAAAACCAAAGGTCGTCGCCAAAATATGGCAAAATATGGTAAATGTACGCCTTTTCCTGCTTCGAGCGCTTCCCCCAGAACCGGGCTGACCGGTCCGCCAAGATGATCGGCCGCTGAACGGAGCGAGCAGCAGAAATCGAAGTGCAAAGCTAGCGCAAATATCCGCAAAACGAGCGCATTAACCCCCCAAAAAAACGCAACAATTGCTCGCCTTCCTCCAGATGGAAGCAGGGGATTTGATCGAGCGTTTTTCTGGGGGGGGGAGCTTTTTTTTGGGGGGGGTGTCGAGCAGAAATCGGCAATTCAAGCATTTGTTCTCGTTCTAAAAAAGGCGCGCTGGGTAATCATGTTTACTGTCTTAGTCCGCCAAAGGTTAATAGTACCATGACTACTGCTGCCGCTTCTGCTTCTGCTTCTGCTACTGCTACTACTACTACTACTACTACTACTACTACTACTACTACTACTACTACTACTACTACCTACACCTACTACTACTACTACTACTACTACTACTACTACTACTACTACTACTACTACTACTCCTCAGGCTCCTGCTGCTGCTGCTAATCACACTGCGATCCTCGCTTTACGCACAGGCCTCTCGCAAAGGCGCATCATCAACAGCCCAGTAGCAATCCCTTATGTTTCAAAATTGGAAGCTTCGGCGAAGCTTCCAAAAACAGGCAAATACCATCGAAGTGAAACAATGCAAAAAAGCTGCGCCTTGCTTTGTTTTGCACTCCCCAATCTAAAGCACAACGTTAATACCGCCGCATCCTGCTGTGTGTTACATCTGGAAGCTCACTCGCAAGACCACTCTGAAAAGGGAAAACACATGTGCTGTCCTCTTGAACTTGTTGAATAGCTTAATAGGTTGAGGTGGGGCGAGGTGAGGATAAGGTGGGGGTAAGGTGGGGGTGCGGTGGGGTGAGGTTGGGGTGGGGTGGAGCATGTGGATTCCGTAGATGGGTAGGTTTACCTAAGCAGCACTTAGTGGGCCTGTATATTCATAGTCCGGCCACATGGGACTTGCAATCAAGTTCAGCTGTTGAGACAACCTGGCCACCGCTTTTCTCACCCAATAACCGAACAATCGCCCGGCCTCCGGCCCAGCCTCCTATGCACACTTTTCGGCACATTTCCCAAAAATTCCAAAAGCTGAATTGAGAATCGGATCCAAGTAGAGGACCTTTCATCATGGCCTTCGCTTCTTATACCTCCCGATCGGCCGATCGGCGAGACGCCTCCAGCAGTTTGGTGCTGTTCACCCAGACCCTTCGTCTGTAGAGCTGCAGCATCATCCGCCACAAAGTGAGCCACCTGCCAACTCCTATTTGGGACCCGCAGGAACCGGATCTCTGGCGCCAGACGAGTCTTCCAAGTGCGGCTTTCCATGGTTGAGTGGTTGGCCAGAATCAGGACTTCATAGTTGCCCTCTCTTTGATCCTCACTGGAAGGCCCAAAGTTGAACAGTAAGGCGCATGGTTGGGTAGAGCCACACCTGGGCTCGTTTGGAACCGGGCCTGCAACCCCCGCCCTTCAATGCATGATGGGCATCTGGAATTTGGATTCACCATCATTGAAACAGCCCGAATCACAGCGAGGCTGTGAGCACATGCAATCTGCTTCAGCTTGGACCATGGCAGGTCTGCAAGCCTTGCCATCCAGCCCGTTGCACTTGGCCCTCGCGGTGGTGTAAAGACTGGAACCAGCAACGTCCAGGCCACACGCCACACGCCACACGGCTTTTTGCCCCTATCTGCCAAAACAAGGCTCCCTGAGAACCTATCGCGTGGGTTCTTCACTTGGGGACAGGAGGCGAGAGGAAGCCTGGCCCAGAGCTTTGGCCGGCCAAAGCGAAACAAGTGGCAAAGAGAGAGAGAGTCTCCAGATTCCCAGCGAGGCTCCCCGAATCTTCCTGAAGATACGCTCATCCCTCCTCCCAAGTGCTGGTCTGGATGATTGTGAAATATCAAAGTATGAGTGGTGCTGAGCGGTTGATGGGTGACACGCCGCAATATGCCGGGGCCGTCTACTGGTGGGACTCAGACTGGGACATGGCCTTTTGGCTGCTGCAAAAGCAAGTGGCCATTCCTATGATTTCCATTTACTCATCACCCCAAAGGGAAACTCACTTCAACCTCGGAAGCTGATGCTTATGCTAACCCCAAAGGGAACTGAAATGGGGAAGCCTGATCAAAAGATGATCCCAACCCCTTCGAGCCACATTGGCTTCTGTAGTCCATACAAGGGGAAGCCTCCCCCGAAAAAGGGCGAAAGGGCAATAGTGGGGGACTCAGCCAAGCTCTGAGGTTCCAGCGCAGTCTCACTCTTGCCCGTCTCACGCCGAATGGAGCCATAGACGTCCAAAATGATCGCCAGAACCTCGGCGAGTTTGTATCTGGGCTGTGCTCAGATCCCCCACTAAAGGCTTAACTATTGGTGGCTTAAGTGAAAACCCAACCACTATATAAACCAACTAAAAGGCTGAAAAGCAAAGCAAATGGCCGGAAACCTCCAATGGGATGCTACACGCATGATTGTCCCTGCAAGCTGGAACCCGGTCTCTAAATCAAGTGTCCGAGCCCTGAGAAACTCGTGGGCCCGAAAAGGTGGACATCTCACTGGCCAAATTCGCCATGGGCGAGGCCCAGGGCCAAAGCAGGACAGCAAGATCGGATCGCTCGGGCCCCGGCCATGTTCAACATGATCAAGTTCAGCAAGACCATAAAGGTCCACACCCAGAACATGCAGGTGTAGTAGTTCCTCAATGCCCGTGGCGGAGCGAGGGCGCATTCTTCTGGGCATGGCGGTTGACCAAAGTCTGGCATCCTGGAAACCACAAAACGACACCCTGGCCTTTGCATGTGTCCTATCCTTTTGACCCCCGAACTTGGCCCGGAATTCGTCCGATCAGCCGCTGCCGGGGCCCCAGCTCTTCAGAGAAGTACGGCCAGTCATACCTGGCAGTTGGCAGTCAAACACCTCCAACAGCTCTGGACAGAAAGCTACACCTCTGAAGCGTGACAATGTCATTTTAACTGCCCAAGGCTCATCCTTCGCATGCTTCTCCAGTCCTCCATGCATCCTTCACGTTTCTTTGCAGTGCTGCCGGCTTTGTCCAAACTCAGCAAACCCGTGCCCACGGACATGCAGGACATAGATATGCACTCATAGCGCACAACTGTAAGGTTATGCACCCTGTGACTTCAAGCCAGGTTTGCCGTAAACTTGCCGGCATGACTCGCCCTCTATCATCAGCTTGAAGCAAAAACCGACGGCGCTATCGAGCGTCGCAAACTCCTGCGTGGAATTCCGCCAGAAGCCTTGGCAGCCTAAAGGGCCATGAAGGACCCAGTAAGGTCCATCCCTTCCTCGCAGAGTCCACGTTGGTTGCCTCCCTCAGGGACTCACATGCTCATTTCGTCTAAACCACGATGCCCCAAACTCACCGAAGATGGAAGCCGCCCGGCTACTGTACAGGTTTGGGTTGGGAGAATCCCCAACAAACCCACACTACAAAGAGCTCCAACCGACCTAAGTTTAGGATTCCCAGTCAAAACTGCTGCCCCAAAGAAATCAAGACGTCTTCCCCGCCGAGCCCAACGAGCATGTTGGAGTTCAACGGAACTTCTAGTGTTCCCAAAAAGGAACATCCTGACCTTCATTGGTCCGAAAGGTGATGTTTAAGCGAGCTAAGAAGGGAAACATGCGTATTTAAATTGAAACAGGGTACCCCCAAAAGGGGAAAAGGGTCTCAGAAGGGTACCCCCAAAAGGGTACCCCCCGCAAAAAAGCCCGGAGCGACTCGGGTCTCCTCCATGCGCCGGCCGAAGATGAAGCAGCCAGCCCTTAGCCGCGGAGTGGTTCAAGTCAACGGGCCCCTTTTGGTTTAAAGGGTCAACCAAATGGACACCACCAAATTCGGTTGCCCCATGAGAGATTTGTCTACAGGTCTATCCATTCCGCAATGATCCTGCTTATCATGTTTTCACACATCGTATCATCTTCTTCATTTTTTTTGTTGATCCCTGAAACCGGCATGGCCTGCATGTGGTGCAGCTTCCCAGTTGCCGATGTTGGCGTCGGAAAACCCAAAGGTGAACAAGCCGAAGGATTGCCTGCTCCCGTTTCCCTAAACTCCCCCCCGAATCTTCTGCTCGCTTTGACTTAGCGACCTTGCAGCTGGCCTTTGACAGCCGGACGGCAATGTAATTGTGCATGCCGATTGACTGCCGACCATGCAAGATTGCGTGGTGACGTGCCGCATGGAGACGCAAACATGAAATGCGTTGACGTTCCGGCTCGCCATCTATCGGCTGCGCCGTCTGCAAGCCTACATGCCAATCCTTGTGACGCCGCTCCAGGCACAACACTCATGCAGGCCTTGGCAGACTGAGAGCCTGACAGTGCATATGCCTCGGTCAACTTGGAATCAGAATGGACAGCATGTGTCTCAAAAATTCATAAGTTTAAAATCATCTGGGAGTTTCTCGAAATCGTGGAGGAGTATATCCGCCCGAGCCTGGTAACTGCGCATGTTTCAAGCTACAATGCACCGTCAAAGGCATCGTGACCTCAACAGAAAGGATACGTACGTAACACGTGTTCATGGCCTCATGTCTCAATTTGAAGTAGTATGAGCCATGGCCGGTGTTCATCATATAGTTCCTACTTCTGGCTGAGTAATGTCAGTCTCGTTCCTTTGCAGTATGCGATGAACTGCAAGACCTTTGCTCAGATGGTGCCATGGTCGTCTAAAGTCACTTAAATGCTTTACAATCATCCCCAGAGCAACACTCGCAATAGTAGTCTTGTCGAAATCCTTCACAGTGTCGTCCAAAGTCACTAAAGGTTCAGCACTATTCCCAACCAAACATGGTCGTCAAAAGTCACTGAAGATCACTAAAGGTTCACCACAGTCCTCAAACAAACATGGCTGTCCAAAGTCATCAAAGGGTTTTCCACCCCAACCAAAAAACGGTCCTTCAGAGACGCTAACCTAGGTCCTGGAGTAGAGAGGTTAGAATAAGGGTACACACTTTTGTGTAGTCTATTTTAGTAGGGGAACCCTCCCCCCAAAAAAGGAAAAAGGGCATCTAGCTGGGGGACCTAGTAACAATTCACCACCGCGGCCCCTGCCAGCCAGGTGGGCGCCAGCACCACCAGAAAGTGGACGATGTCGAAAGCGCTCACCTCTCTGTTTGCTGGCAAGGTCAGATCACGTCGATGACCAAACACCCTCATGTCTGCAGGAATCGTTTCTTCGTAGACTTCCTGTTTGGGCTACATGTTGATGCTAACTTCAAATTATCCAAAGCGCGGTACCAATCCGGGGTGATTCCCTCGAGTTGAACAACTATATGATTATATGTCTGACTGCTTTGTCTGAGTAGAAGGGTGGTCCGAATTAATCCGACGTCAATTCTTAATTTCCATCAGAGTAAATAGCCCGAGTGTCTCGAACTGTGGATTCCACGAGCAGTCCCTTTTGGGGGGCTGGCCACTAAGTGGCCATCGGAAAAAGGCCACTCGTTTCTCTGTTGACTTTCCCAAGAACAGGAAACATGGGCACTACTGGCAGGTCAGGACCAAACACATCTGCATTCATCATCATATGTTATACTTCCCACCCAGCACACCATCCAGCAACTCTATTTCTTCACAGCCCATGCCAACAAAGCGGAGAACCGGCAACATGCATCAAAAACACAAAGAGCAGCGAAACCACAGATCTGGAACCCTGAAGGCACTCGATGTTTGGGTCGAAATCTCATGTGTGCCTTAGTCCAATCTCAGCCAATTGGTCGCAAAATCACTCCCTCCCCGGGTTGATGGGTGCTGGGTCTTGACGTATTTGGAGGATCCCTATCCCTCGTTTTGGCCCATGCCCGCAACATTGAGCCCGCCCTTTCTTGGAGTTCCCCTCAAACCAACCGCAAAATGGAGGCCATCAACAAAAAAAAGCCATCGGTGTTTGGGGTTGTACAGCCGGGTGCCCGAGTCACCCCGGGTCAAAACAAAAAAGCCAACTGGAAACCATTGGACACCTTCAGTTGACGCATGCAGCTCTTCAATCAGCCTCCAGTTTGTTTCCTTCTAAAAAAAGGTGTTTTTTTTCTCCGGAACCAACCAGTAAATTGTAACACGTGAAGGATAAATTGTTCCTGATCCACCGTTTGCCGGCGACCCTCGACCACGAAGGGGAAACCCCAGCTGCAAGTTGCAAGTGACCACTGACATACTGTTGATTGAAAACTGTGCCAGTGCACCAGTTAATATAGCATGAATTCCCTGCAAATAGTAAACCACCTACCAACCTCAGGGTTTCGTTCCTCCACCTCACTTCCTGAGTGGATTTGCCCAAAACAGTCCGAACTTGTTTGCCACTAAACCGATCTTCCCAAAAAGCGGTTCAAGTCCAACTCTGGCCTTGAGCCACGTCCACGCAAACGTCGGGTCCCTCAATTCGGCTCGATTCGGCCTCCAGGGTCCGTGTGACCACAGCCAGGCGCGGCTGCGCCCCGAAGGAAGTAAAGAAGCGAACCATGCACAGCAGGCAGTACCTCCCACGAGGTCTTGTGTGTGTGTGTGTATCATGGGCCTCCTTTTGGTACTCTTTTGGGGGTTGCTGTAAAAAGAAACCAAAAAGGACAACTAGACTGTTTGGGGTACCCAATTTTGCCACATACAAAGTAGTAGAATTGGATAGCTATCTCACCAAGCACGGACGCCACAGGAGAAATGGCCCTCTTTAGCGGAAACCCCTCCAGTTGGGCGTCCCCTGTTTGATGGGAGGGTTCACTCCCGCCCGAGATGGATCTGCAGATCTGCACAGGACCCTTGCCTCCAAGAGGAACGCATCTTCCAAAACTCGGTTGCTTTCTGCTCCTCTGCTAAAAGTTTAACTTTAGTGGTTGAATGGAAAGCCCACAAATTGGCAAAAAGTTAAAGTCCTAACATCCAAGCAAAATGCGCCAAAGAAAAGAGGCATGAGCATTTCCATCTTTATTGGGGGGAGGGTAAAGTCCCGATGAATGCTTTGTTTTGGGCATCATTTGAAGAAGAAACAAACTCAGTGAATCATTTGCGGTGCCTATGTCATCCGATACGAGGTCGGCAGCTTCCCAACAAGTGGTTGTGGTTCAGGGGCACAAACACGTCAAACTACCAACGGTGCTGCCTGCCCTTCACCTTTGGCTGCACGAATGCTAAGAAAATGCGCGCCACCCAAGAAACATCATGAGTCTGTGTCAAATAGGGGGACTCTCAAAACGGGTGGTGTCCAGTTGGTTCCCTTTAACCCTTCAACAAACGCCAAAAAGGGAGCAAAACGATAACGTAACGCAAACCAGCTGGAAGGGAAAATGCAAGGGGTGCTGCGTTTAGGCCTCGCGCATCCAGCTATCCTGCAAAAGAAATCGATGGCACTCATAGATGATTAGGACCAAGCTGAACCAGTGCTACTAGGTCCTCCAGTAGAGAGGTTGGAATAAGGGTACCCTTCTTGCTGCAGTCTATTTTAGTAGGGGAACCCTCCCAAAAAAGGGTGAAAGGGCACTACTGGGGGACCTAGGCTATCTTACATAGCATTGTGAACTCTGGAGTTTGGGACCATCAAGTTCAGGGGACCTTGATTGAGAAGCAGGGCACCTACTGGGAACCGACTCCCAAAGGCAAACCTGTGCCGCGGCCGCGGAGCGGCGGACGAGAACGGACGTCCCTCCGGGACCCCCACACACCGGTGACCATGCGGAAGTTCCCGGCGAACCACGACATGTAGGCCACCTTGGCGTCCCGTGCGGTTTTTTTTTCAGCGGTTTGCGACAGCCATGGGACCTTGGAGGTGGCTTATGGAAAAAAACAAAGGGCCCAGAAGTCCTTGTTCCAGAGGAGACGCTGGAACCTCTGGCCTGTCTCCAAAGCAGTACCCAGAAGTCCTTGTTCCAGAAACATGCGGCCTTTTCTTTGAAATTATCTTCTGCTATCAGATTAGAGGGTAAAGATGCAAGATAAGTACCAAGAAGCACCAAACGTAATCCCAGGGACGCCCAGGAACCGCTGGTGTGGGGACCCTTAGCCCGGTAGTACAAACTAAGTAACAAAGGGGTCCCAAAACAGGGACCTATTCTTGATCCCACATGTTGTGAGCTCATTCACAGAGGCACCACATGACTTCATTGTCAAAGGCACTCCATACAGAAGGGCTTTCATGGGCTGCCACAAACCAGTTCATGATTAGAGTTAGGCCCAGTTATAGAATGTATATGTCATTGTTTGCTTCACTTTGAGTCACTGGTAAAATGTAAAATGTATCCTAAGTCCACCCCAGAATTTACCGGAGCCCAATGCAATGGAGCCCAAGGCCGCTCTGTCTCTGGCCATCCGAGCCTTGTCCAGCAGGGCGATGCCATCGTTGTTGGTGTCTGCCGGCATGTCCTGCACCGTTCGCAGAGAAACCAAGCGCTCCGATTTTAACTCATTGACCCAGACCAGTGCGAGAAGAAAAAGAAAAAAACAACTCGTTGACCGAGACCAGTGCGTTGCATTGTTGCAATTCGTGCAATAATGTCCTAAGCCTCATGAAGTAAGGGGTTCCCTGTTTGAATTCATAGCCAGGTCAGGTGGCGAGGAGTTGCACAAGTCATTGTTCCCAAAAGCGAGCAAATGCGACAGGCAGGGGGTGTCTGTTCAATAAGCGATCATGGAAGATACCTTCCAGCACAACAAACTCAGACGGATTCTTGAATGCAACCAGGCATCATTGGAGCAATTCATCGTGTGTAGGGTGGAAAACACGATAAGCATTGAGGACATGTTCCGCCTCTGAAAGACAGGGCTGGGAAAACAACGGGCGTCGTCCAATTTGTCACTTGACCAACCCACAAATTTTATGCTCTCTTGGGCCAAAAGGTCCATCACCTGCGGTCTTAATGAGTTCTCCAAAAGGTCTAAGGACTTGAGGAGGTTTGAACATGGTGAGCCCTTGTCTAGGTTCTCGAGTAGAGAGGATAGAATAAGTTGATACCCGATTTTTTCCTGTAGCCTATTTTAGTAGGGGAACCCTCCCAACCAAGAAGGGGCAAAAAGCACCTAGCTGGGGGACCTAGTTGTGGTTGAAAGTGCTTCCCAACGTCTTCTTAGGACCTCAGACCGACCCCATTCCTGGAGCTGCTTCTGCACCACCATCTCGTAGGACTCCACCACATCGTCGCCTCGATTTCCGCGCACCAGGCCCAAACCCAGGCAGAAACCCCCCCTTTTAGGGTGGCTTTAAAGGGACAGCTCCGCAGAACCCCGTAGTTGAAGGGTGCCAAAGGCTCATTTGGAAAGAAAACATGTGCCGCTTTCTTTCTATGATGGTCCTTAGGAAGGCTCCTGTCTGGTGTCATGATTGCAGTATGTTCATGAGCGTGTGTGGGTATGTGTGGGAAACAATACATATGTAAACATATATATATATATACATAGTTTATATGAGAAAATGTATATATATATATATTATAATATATATGCCTGGTTGCCAAAATGTTGGCTCCCAGTTTTGTATCACGAATCGCCATGGCATGGGACTCGCTTGGCGCCCTTGGCGCAACGTCATCACGTGACCAAACGGCCGGCATCAAAACATGCGTCATGTAACACTTGTAAGGAATCACCAGTGTGGCCAGCTTTCTCAACATGAATGCCTAGAAATGAAATGACCATAGCCTGCAATACGCAACAGTATCATTTTTCTGACAGTCATGGAAGTGGACGAGGAGCGTTGTCAAGAGAATGGCCGACTCGGCCGACTCGGGTCCCGAGCGCAGCGAGAACTCCACGCAGTAGCCGACGACCACCGCGATGCCGCCCACTGGGCCGAAGGAAAGGGGGTGCCACGTGTTGCCCGAATTCGACTTTGGCCTCGCCGGCTTCCCTGACAACCCTGGGGGAAACCCTGGATACAGGTTGTCCAAATACAGTGTCATTTGGACCTGGCCAGGTTGCTAAGAAACCTTAGACTGCCTGAGACAACCTTTTCTCCTTGGACGGACTCACTAACCATCAGGAGGCAAGGTCACAGAATAGGGTGCACATCATGAGTCTCTTCATTCAAGCAGCGACAGAATCAGAAGACAATGAGCACCTTGCTCAAACACGATTCATGGTGCATGTACACTGAGCTCTGCACAAATGGTCAGGGCTTGCAAGACAGTCCAGCCCTTGCTGATGTGCTTCCGAGCCTGCCCAGAGCTTGCAAATCAGTCTTGCAGCTTGTTGTCTTGGTCCCAGTTGCGCTCGCTTGTGCCATCCTGATTACGCCGAAAGGAACATGCTGGGCCCAACATCATGATGGGGGAAACGATACAATAACCCCTCCCTTGCACAAACAGGCCCCCCCAACTGCAAGAATGTACCATAGAGCGTCAAGCATTCGAATGGGGAATGGGATACTATGAAACAAATCAATTGCCGTATGATCATCATGGGTCTTTGCCAAAAGAGGGAAAGCAAAGAAATGGTGGCTTTTCTTGTGGATTCCCCTTAAACCCACACCCATATGAACTACAATTAATATGTATATGTTGATGAGTAGCCCCATTTCTTCATGGCATTTTGGTGAGCATGAAATTCCTTTGGCTACAGCAACTAGCAGTAAATCAATGGAATCAAAAGGACAACCAAGTGAAACACCTCAGCATTTTGGGGCCCTCCGAGAAAAAACAAAAAACACACACACACACACACACGCCCATAGAGCGGCCGGCGGCCGGCTCTCCCCTTCCTCGCGGTTCTTTACCGCTTTGCACAGCCGGACCAGCTCCATCCTGGGAGGCGCTTGATATCAAGCAGCACGGCTTATGCCCCGATCGATTTGCGGCTGACTTGAGGCCTTGGCAAGTGAAGCCGTAGGAACACAAATGTGCGAATGCCTGCACAAAAACTGATCCATCCTTTCCTGCAGAGAAGCACGGCTTTTCCAAACAGATCAAAGGTCCAAGGCCAAGCTAAAAGTTCCAAGGTCGATCTTGAGCAATTTAGCTCCCGAAAACAGTAACTACAGTCTGGGAAGCCGCAAAACTGACGATCTCTGTCCAGTGAAGCGTGTCTGAAAATATGATGGCCGTCATTCAAAGACCTCTGGTCAGCTGGCGACCGGCGGGCAATTCGGGAACATGTCAATGTGAGCATTCCTAGGGTGGGTGATTCCTAGGGTGGGTGGTGCTAAGCATTGTCTTCCAATCAGCCCAAACAGGGTTACCTTTTCATCCCTCGGAGGCCATGGAAGAATCCGCCGACCCCTTTGCAAAAGCAAAGTTAGTCTCTGCAAAGGGGCGAGGCGTGTTCTAAGTGGTGGTTAGGGGGAGTCTGAGGGGGGGAGGGGGGGTCCCGCAGCGGATTTTTGACACGCCTAACCTCTAACCCTAACCTCTAACCCTAACCTCTAACCCTAACCTCTAACCCTAACCTCTAACCCTAACCTCTAACCCTAACCTCTAACCTAACCTCTAACCCTAACCTCTAGCCCTAACCTCTAACCCTAACCTCTAACCCCAACCTCTAACCCTAACCTCTAACCCTAACCTCTAACCCTAACCTCTAACCCTAACCTCTAACTTTAACCTCTAACCGTGAGGATGGATGATGATGATGAAAGACTAGGAAGATGACGGAAGACTACGGGAAGACGACGGGAAGCTGACAGAAGACTACGGGAAGATGACGGAAGACTGCGGGAAGCTGACGGGAAGATGACGGAAGACTACGGGAAGAGAACGGAAGACTGCGGGAAGATGGCGGAAGACTACGGGAAGATGACGGAAGACTACGGGAAGATGACGGGAAGATGACGGAAGACTACCGGAAGATGACCCTACTCTAACCCTAACCTCTAACCCTAACCTCTAACCCTAACCTTTAACCTTAACCTCTGACCTTAACCTTTAACCCTAACCTCTAACCTTAACCTCTAACCCGAACCTCTAACCCTAACCTCTAACCCTAACCTCTAACTTTAACCTCTAACCGTGAGGATGGATGATGATGATGAAAGACTAGGAAGATGACGGAAGACTACGGGAAGATGACGGAAGAGTACGGGAAGCTGACGGGAAGATGACGGAAGACTGCGGGAAGATGCCGGAAGACCACGGGAAGATGACGGAAGAGTACGGGAAGATGACGGGAAGCTGACGGAAGACTACCGGAAGATGACGGAAGACTACGGGAAGATGACGGGAAGCTGGAAGATGACGGAAGACTACGGGACTGCGGGAAGATGACGGAAGACTACGGGAAGATGACGGAAGACTACGGGAAGATGACAGAAGACTACGGGAAAATGACGGAAAGACTACGGGAGATGATGGGAAGATGACGGAAGACTAAGGGAAGATGACGGAAGACTGCGGGAAGACTACGGGAAGAGGACGGAAGACTATGGGAAGCTGACGAAAGACTACGGGAAGCTGATGGGAAGATGACGGAAGACTGCGGGAAGATGACGGAAGACTACGGGGAGATGACGGAAGAATACACGAAGATGACGGAAGACTACGGGAAGATGACGATGACGATGATGATGCTGATGATGCTGCTGAGGATGATGAAGATGATCTGATGATGATTTTGATGATGATGCTGATGATGATGATGGTGATGCCGATGATGATGACGCCGCTGATGATGATGACGATGATGATGATGATGGTGACGAGGATGATGATGATGATCAGGAGGATGATGAGGATGATGATCTGACGATGGTGCTGATGCTGGATGATGAGGATGATGATGCTACTGAGGCTGAGGATGATGATGGATGATGATGACGACATGGTGGATGATGACGATGATGATGATGCATCGTCCTCATTCATCAGGTTGAGCAGCATCATCGTCATCCTCCTCATCATCATTATCATCAGCGGCGCCATCATCGGCCTCGTCATCCAGCATCATCGTCAGCCTCATCATCCCCGCATGAAGCCAGATGTTGGAGAAAAATCCGGCCCTTGTTATCGCTGAGAGAAAGCCCGGCTCTTCTCCGTCCCAGACCAAAAAGCAGCTTCCGCATCCCCAGCATGCCAGGCATCACCCCAGACACCTGCAGGATGATGCCGGTGAAGCGGGGGATGCAAAAGCTGCCTTTTTTCCCGACATTCGAAGACCAACAAAGGCAGTTCCTGCATCCCCAGCAAGCAAAGCATCACGCCGGGCACCTGCAGGATGATGCTGGTGAAGCGGGGGATGCAAAAGCTGCCTCTTTTCCCAACATTCGAAGACCAAAAAGGCAGCTCCTGCATCCCCAGCACGCAAAGCATCACCCCGGGCACCTGCAGGATGATGCTGGTGAAGCTGGGGATGCAAAAGCTGCCTTTTTCTACAACGATGGAAGACCAAAAAGGCAGCCCCCGCATCCCCAGCATGCGAGACCTTGGCGCCGATCCTGCTGAGAGACGGAGAAGGGCCAGAGTTTCTCCAACGTGTGTGATGCTGTTACGGGGGTCGGCGGCATCAGGCGTCAGCCTGCTAAATAAGGTCCTCAACTCAACCGTGTTGCTCACTTCGGGATCAGGGACGGGTCCTAGCCGATTTTGATTCTGGCAGTCTGGCAGCGGAGAATCTACCGATTGGTTGTTCGGGCTGCTTCCTAAGCCCTCCAGAAGGAGTTCACCTCGTTTTGACACAGAGCAAAAAACATGGTGTCTCTTCTCGAGGGAGTAAACGCATCCGTTTCATTGGTCCCCCCTAGAGACAACCCATGGCTCTGTGTCTCAACCAGGTTCATCCCATGGAAGGGGAGACCAACAGTTTGCAGGAAGACTTGACGCACTTAAAAGAACAGGCAGCACACACCTCATCCCGAAATCTGGGCACGTCAAGTGACCTGAACTGCAGAAATTTGATCAGCCTCGCCGCATTTATGCCAGCTGGAATTCTGCACCAGAGATGCCATTCCAACCAGCAGTTCCCTTACAACAGGAACTAGCGCTGGGTTGTCACCCCGACCCCCCACGATTGATTCCCGGGGTTGTTGTTTTGCGATCTGAAATTGCGCCCACTGAAGCTCACCTGGATAGCCAAGTCGCAATTTGTTCCTGACCCTTTTGCTGGGGGCGAGTTCGTCAGGAAGCCAACCGCGTTTTTGCCCTGGAACACTCTGGCATTCCAGGGTTGCAATAGCAAAGCATCATGTTGTCCGAAAGCGCCCTTACTCTCCCGCAAATCAACATGACACCCCAACAAAAAAGCAATTCCATTCGCGCCGCTTTATAAGAGCCACAAGTTTGCCTGGACCCGTGCTTGCAGGTTCCATGGCTCAATTTGGTTTCTGGGGGCTCTCAATTTGCAGAGGAGTGCATGGCCATAAATTTCCACGGGGAGCCACATCTCCAAGTTGGTGGGCATGAATAAGGTTCTACTGAAAAAAGCTCACACCCAATGTTGGGGGTTCCTTTGCGTTTTCCCCCCGACCCAGAAAGGGCACCCTGTTCTGGGGCTTGAGTCCAACCATTATCTTCAACCACGATCGTTCTTTTCAAAAACCAGCCATTTCCCCAGGGTGTCTGATGGTTTCCTGAGAATAATCAAATCCCTGAAAAAAAAAGGAAATGGAAAACAACCCCTAGAACCCCGTGATTCGTGCAGTGGGCATTCTTGCAGTTTTGCGCTTCAAGGAGATGAACGGGCAGTTCACCGGGCCCTGCAACTGGGCCTGGCCCGTATTGGGTTGGGCTGACTCCCCGAGTTTCTGTGGTAGTAGCCGCAAGAGTTTAGTGACTTGTTTGGGACAGTGAGTTTGAAGGGCAAGCCCCAAGACTAGTTTTGAGAAGCTAACTCTTTCTGCCAGGATTTTGTTTTGAAGAACCATGGGTCCAATTCCTAAGGCAAAGCAAAGGGAGGTTGTTTAAGCAATCTTGCGTGAGGTTTAGGTGAGTGTACCCATTCTTTGGGATGGTCATGAGAATAGGTGAGCCACGATCAAAGCCCTGGCAGATGAAGGTAGTGGACAGTCACCATAAATGAGTTCGGCAAGTCTTTCCTTCCTTTTCGTTCTTGTGGGCTTGGGGTTTGACGACTCACTTTCTGGTTTTTTGTGCAACTAAATTGTTCCACAATCATGGGGTGGGTGGGTGCGTGGGTGGGTGGGTGGGGGCCATTCTTCTGAGTCAACGGCACAAAAATCCCGAAGAGGAAGGTGACAAAGACGATGTCCACCACGATGGACCCAACCTGAATTGTATAGGGTTGGTTGTAACAATCTTAAACAACCGACCCCTGGTCCCCTTTAAACGGGAAACAATAACGGGGTAGCCAAGCAATACTGATTTGAACAAGCATCTGGCGCAATCAAGCCGTCCGACTGTCTGATGCTCATGTGAGAGCGCAACCCGACCAATACAACCAACATGTCCAACTGAGAATCCTGCATGCCATGGTCAATCTCTGTGCTGGTCATTGGCCCCTATTCGTAACGACCCCTTTTTCAGACAAGTTGATGACCACCCCAAGCAACCAGAATCTGCGACCGTGGCACTCCCACGTCTCTTCTCAAGTCGCGCCAGCCCGCCGAATCATACCATAACTCAAACCACTCAATACGCCTGCCAACGCAAACTAAAACCAACCACTGCTCACAGTCCCTAGGAAATTCCCACGTCACCGCCTCTGGTTGAATCAAACACACACACACACACACACAAACACACAAACACACAAACACACAAACACACAAACACACAAACACACAAACACACAAACACACACAAACACACACAAACACACAAACACAAACACACAAACCATACAAACAAACAAGCACACACACAAACACACAAACACACAAACACACAAACACACAAAACACACACAACACACAAAACACACATAACACACATAACACACATAACACACAAACACACAAACACACAAACACACAAAAACACAAACAAACAAACACACAAACACACACACAAACACACAAACACACTGTCACAAACACACAAACACACAAACACACAAACACACGAACACACGAACACACAAACACACAAACACACAAAACACACAAAATACACAAAACACACAAAACACACAAAACACACATAACACACATAACACACATAACACACATAACACACATGACACACACAACACACATAACACACATAACACACATAACACACAAACACACAAACACACAAACAAACAAACACACAAACACACAAACACACCAACACACCAACACACAAACACACACACACACACACACAAACACACAAACACACAAACACACAAACAAACAAACAAACACACAAACACACAAACACACAAACACACACACACAAACACACAAACACACAAACACACAAACACACACACACACAAACACACAAACACACAAACACACAAACACACAAACACACAAACACACAAACACACAAACACACAAACACACAAACACACAAACACACAAACACACAAACACACAAACACACAAACACACAAACACACAAACACACAAACACACAAACACACAAACACACAAACACACAAACACACAAACACACAAACACACAAACACACAAACACACAAACACACAAACACACAAACACACAAACACACAAACACACAAACACACAAACACACAAACACACAAACACACACACACACAAACACACAAACACAAACACACACACAAACACACAAAAACACACAAAAACACACAAAAACATACAAACACACAAACACACACACACACACAAACACAAACACAAACACACAAACACACAAACACACAAACACACAAACACACAAACACACAAACACACAAACACACAAACACACAAACACACAAACACACACAAACACACAAAACAGGGAACTGCAGCCGCCTGATGAGAGCGGCCCGCGTGGAGCTGAGGCATGGACATTTTGAAAAGACTTCAGGAAGATGCTGTCCATCCTGATACAGCCGCAACCAGTGACTGGGCAAACGTATGGTTTTTTGTTTCTTTTTTAAGGGGACCCATCAGGCTCACCAGCTTAGTTGGGCGCCCAAGCAAGGAGGGTAAAAACGTATCACCGAAGATATGGGGATATCTTGGCAAGTAAACATCCAGAGAGTCGCTGATCGTCACATGGCAAACCCCTGAGCCCAACCCACGCAAAGGTGCTGAAACGGGGTTTGTAGGAAAGAACTGAAAGAACGATCTCGAATTCGAGGAGATCCCTGAAATGGAACAGGCTGCTCATAACGCCTTCGAAGGTTCCATAAGATTCGGGCCCTCGGGCTCAAGCTTCAAAGCTTGGAACAGAGGCCAGCAAATTCCCTCACGGCTCTCACCCAGGAGCTTCAAAAGGGTTGAAAGCCCCAGAAAAATGCCGAGCACTGGTCTCACCAAAGAGAAACCCCCGAACGCTTTCGCGGCATTGGCGCATTCCTCGTCCGTTCGGCAACTCGGAGCCCTCGCGGTTTTGGGAGGGGCATGCTTTGGCTCCACTCATGGAGTCGAGTTCTCAAGAGGCCACTGTGGGGCCCATGAGGCCCAGGCCGGCACGTGAGGCCTTGAGTGTTGTGTTCCACGCATGCGTGCGCGTTACCGTGAGAACCTGCACTAAAGCAACCTGGCAGCAACAGCCGGCTGAGGAGACAGCTCGGCCGACAAAGTAGGTGTCCTCCCTTCCCCCCCTGGTGGCGTCCACTTCATGATAATTGACCGGCGCAGTCCCAAAGGAACGTCGAAGAACAGAACCGTCGTGGAAGAACCAAACTGAATGCACGCCCCGTTGAAATCAGCCTTTTGTTGTCAAGCCTCATTTACACCATGTGGATGCGGAAGGGCCCGTGGTGTGTCTGCTGTGAGAAAAACACTTGTTGTGGAGCTACGAGAAGGGGAAACTGCAATTCTTGGGTCCCCAAAATGGCTGATGTCCTTTTTGGCTTGCCATTGCACACCAAAACGCAGAGGTTCCGAATCCAATTTTGCGAAACACCTCGGATGGTTGCATGGTCGGTTTTCCAGTTGTCTGGGCATCCACGCTTCACGCTGGTGAAGAGCCCACCCCCTCGGCTGAAGGCCTGGCAAATGGCATATACGTGGCCTCATAGCCCTACACCTGGGATACAAAACTTACGTATATCTGGCCTGCCCTCCGATCCCCCGCAAAAAGTGAATAACTTTTAGTGGGTAAAATGGAAACTACCACTAAACACTAAAAAGCTAAAAGGCTAAGGAACCGGATGGCTGGGAGCCACCAAGATATTGTTCCATTCACATCTTGGTCAAGGTGAGATGTAAGATGGTACCCTGACCCAGGCAACCAATGACCCTGGCCAACTGGCAATCGGTCGATTGCACGGGTAGGAGTTCCGCAACCAACATGGCAAATCGAGTAGTTCAAAAGCGTCCCTGTTGCAGTGGGTGGGGAGGGGAGCTTGCCCCCCCCCACCCCCAAGAACGGATAACCAAGCCGCCGTCCAAAGAAGGCATTCTACATGGTGCCAGCAGCTGATAGCTAAGGACAAAGGCCTGTATCCAGACAGAAAGGTGTCCGGAAAAGCGAGACCAGCCTTCGCATCGCTCAAGGAACGCTTCAAGCTTCAACAACGCCCTGGAAAGAAACTGCAGTGATTGCCAGGCGGATCTAGCTGCGGCCGCAGCTATGTTGCTGCTCAACTCTCCAGGTAGCCACCAAGATGGTGACTGGCGAAGTAGCCAGCTACCTAGCTGCCAAACTTATGAACTATCAACCATCCAAGGAGCCAATTGGCTTCATCTTGACCCGAAGCACTTGCATCCGTCTCATTCTTGTCTCTCCGGCCCCGGCGAATTCAACTTGAGGGTGCAAAGGACACGACCTATCACGCAGCAGCCACCCATCCCCCGGGCATCCAAGGCTTTGTCCACTGAGCCGCGGTTCTGTGTTGTTCTTGTCTCGCACCAGGGGATCGGAAAATCAGTCAGCCCCCTGGTTTGTGGGGAGGAGGGGGGGGGGGGGGAATTGAGTGCCCATGTCCCAAGAGGACCATAGACAACCTCACATTTTTCGATGCAAGGCTGGCCCTAGCCTGATGGGTATAGCAGATGTTGCCCCAGGAAGTCCAAGGTCAAACGCACGTTTTGTTGAAAGGCCCCGTGTTAGGTTTCCTCAACCCTAAACTCGGGATACGAATGATTTAAGATGGTACCAAACCTTGACCCAGGCAGAACTTGTTTCGTTCGGCTCGAAAAAACACGTGACAGCGCGGCGATGTTGAAGGAGAACATCTGCAGGCGCGGCCTGTGTTTGCAGTCGTCAACCAAAAAGAGAGTGCTTGGGAAGGAAACAAAACGGATCTTGGGTCTCAGCTTTGAGACAATCCATGCCCTCGTGAGCAGTCGCAAGGTTGGGCCTTGGTTCCTCCAATCACCTGACAGCGGGTCCAGAATGATCCAAAACGTGATGCTGAAAACCAACAAAAAGGGAACTATGGGGAACCCCGTGGCTGTCACCATTTGGGAAATCTACCAATTCCGGTGTTTCCGTGGCACATCTGCCCCGCCGGAAGTGGGCGATCCATGCTGCTCACCTGCTCACGAGGATCTTCGAATGAGCTTTGCGTACCCTCCCTCCAACAAACGCGGCAGTGCACTCCCCCCCTTTCCCGAGAACGACCAGTCTTCCAGTGGGGCCACCGAACAAGTATAGACTTCCACCAGCCGTGCGGCCCAACTTTGGTCCAGAGGCCCTCTCCCCCATCGGATTCACAAACACGAATTCGCAGCGGGGTGCTGCCCGCAAGCGACAGATCCCTCAAAAAGCGACACCCCAAGTGGCCATGACATAACGTTTGATCAACCACGCTGCGTCTTTTTCGAGGGCGCCCTTTTTGGGTTGCATTTGAACATCCCGGGTTAGCATTCCTGTCAAACCACCACTCAAACACAGACATACAATTGTTAAAATTATATAACATACATATAATATATATATATATATATATATACATACATATAATACATATATATATATATATGTGTATATAGCATGTCAATGTTCTGAATGTTCATACATGTCAATGATTGGTCTTTAAACCCATCGCACAGGAGGGTTGTCCGCAGTAAGTCTGCCCCCTCAAAGCCTTGGGGCGGCTAGTTGTTGGGCCATTCTGAAAGGGGGTCCAAACCGTCGCCAATGACCAAAGCCTAAAGCAGGCCGGTCGAAACTGGCTTGACCCTTGCGGAAACAAGGGCGTTTTGAAGGGCGCCGAAAAACCGTGCTTAAGACGCCTTTTTTTAAGACGTGCTTTCTTTTCCGTTTTTTCCCCCCGCGCCTTCCAACCTCCGCGTTGACCAAGAGCGCCTGGATGTCCAGGTTCTTGCTCTGGGCCTAACAGTGGGGTCCAGGCTCAAGCGAACCCAATTTGCACCACAACTTGCTGCTGCGAGCTCGGTAGGGGATGTGGGAATGGACCCAGGGATTCCAACTTAAAGGAAACCACCAGTTGGATGGTTTATAAGGGTCATTCCCTCATTCCCCGCTGAGCACCAGCAAGACAACCAAGCAAGGAAGCAAGGAAGCAAGGAAGCAAGGAAGCAAGGAAGCAAGGAAGCAAGGAAGCAAGGAAGCAAGGAAGCAAGGAAGCAAGGAAGCAAGGAAGCAGGCAGGCAGGCAGGCAGGCAGGCAGGCAGGCAGGCAGGCAGGCAGGCAGGCAGGCAGGCAGGCAAGCTGGGTGCCCAGTAAGAAGAACATCAGCGCGGATAAGTTCAAACAAGTTGCTTTGTGGTTGGCAAATTGCCAGCCAAGGCTGGCTCAAATCAAAGCGAGACGTCTGCATATGCTCTGCACCTCAAAGACTCGTTGCGCCCAAAACCGGGGGCTCAGGAACTCGGTCCAGAGGGACAAAAGGATTCAAAAGGTCGAGAAGTGAATTCCCCCCCCCACAAAAAAAAGGGTGATGATTTAGTCACTATTTCGTCCCCCAAAACTTAAGTTTGACCAGACACGGCAGATCCTTGGGCTGGAGGCATCATACCTGGGGCTGCCGGCATCGATCCACTCCTTGGTCTTGATGTACTGGAGGTGCTCTGTGATGAGGTGGATGGGCGTGTTGGGAAAAATGGCCACGATGTAGTTGGCCTGGCAGATCTCTCACGGAGCTACTGTGGATGGACAAAATCCATTTCGCACCACTTTGAACCATGCTGGAAACCATAACGTTTGTTGGTATTTACAGGGGAAACATCAGACACCAGGGTTTCTTAGGTGGTGCAAAAATGGACTTCGTCCATCCACAGTATGCCCTAGGTGCCAAAGTGGGGCCAATCATAAACTGGAAATGCAAAGAGAAGCGATCGCACTGGATCGCACGCACTGAACTGGTCGACCTTTGTTTCACGGGGGTTCTATACACATCCTAAGACGTCGCTAGGGAAACGCAGCGAGGTTGAAAACCAAGTCTAGGGGACCCTGGTGAGGTGGCTGTGGGTCAAAAACTGGGTAACCCCAAACTGGAACCCTCGTAAATAGAACCAAGGACTAAAACCTGCGGTCCAATTCCTAGTGGTTTAACAGGGATCCTTACCTGAACATTGCCTTGTAAATGGTGGTTTCCCCTTATTTTGGTGGAAAAAGCAACATGTTTCAGTTGGTTGCAAAATGTCTTCTAAGGAGACCTGTTTAATTTTCACCCATGCCCATGGTGTCTTTCCTCCATGGGCTTCGGAGCCATGGCCGCGCCCGAGCCCCCAGACGCCCCCCGCCGTCTCGTGCGGTGGTGGCAGCCTGAACTGAAGGCGACGACGTCCCAAATCAAAATGAACCACTTTCAATGGGCTGCCCTCGGATTCCTCGCTACAAGTGACTAACCTTTACTGGGCTAAATGGAAACTACCACTCAGCACAAGGCTAAAAGGCTGAGGAACCGGATGGCAAAGAGCCGCCAAGTTTCATGGTGAAAAAGCCGGCGGGGTTTGTGTTTCCCATCGGTTCAGTACCTTGGCCCTTTCTAAACCACCTTCGTTCATGTGAAAAAAATGGCCGGGTGTTGTGGGTTCAAAAGAATGGCTGCAGTACCTTGGCCCTTGCTACCCTTCCAACAATCATAGAAGTGCGCGAGAGGGGTTTTGGAAGAGTACCATCTTCTCAAGAAGCCTCGTGTCTCCCTCCATGATGGAAGAAAGGGTAGATGCGGGGCCTTTGCGACCGAACCCCATAGGTTCATGAGTCGAACCCCGACAAAGGCGAAGACGTGAGAAGCCAACTAGCAACATGTCAATGTATCCCAGAAACATGGAACCCGCAGGGTCCCAAGCCAAGTGTGGCAACTGCGCAAGTCTCATTTTTTCGCGGCGTGCGGGATGCTAGAGAAGAGACAACGCTGACGTCTGGCGACGCAGGAAGATCTACTGGTGGCAAACGTGTATGAGTCACAAGAAGCAAACAATGGTCTTCCAGCCGCTTATTCCCCCACCCACCCCGAGCCATGTTGGACGGGTTGAGTTGAAATTCTGAGGCTCTGGCATAATGTCAAACTCTGGCCGCGTTTCCCTCGCCAGCCTCGGCATAAAGGGAGCCATGGGCCCAGCGATGCGAAGTCAATTGGGCCAACTCGAATCCACGTGGACTGTGTCATGCACCTACGGAATACGGAGAAACATATAAACAAACCTATAATATCCATATGGGCGAGCTCGCTGTGTCCCAGGGCCAAGCTCTTTATTTGCAGATTCCATGATGACAACACCTGCGGGCGCCCTTCTGTTGCTGTCAACCGGAATCGAATCAAAAGCTCAAGCACGCAAGTCACTTGACACAAAACAAAGACTGGCCAAAGCCTGTCAAGCCTGTCCTGGCTGATAAGGGGTTGTTTCCTTTCGGGTGCCCTTTCAAACTAACCCCAAATGGGTACCCTCCAAAAGAGATACACCCATAAAGCGGGTGTATGGTTCAAGGAGAACAAACACATGATGTTCCGTGAGCTGAGCTGAACAGGTTGTGGGTGTTGCCCACTTCTGATAATGAATTCTCCAATTACAAGGGAATTGGGTTATCCGAGGAAACGCAACCGAGGAGACGCAAAAAAGTGTCGCTGAAATGACATTCCCAAAACGAATAAAGGCCAGAAACTCGGGGAGTGCGTGAATGACCAGAACCAACGGCATCCATCTATGAGTTGCCGAACTCAACTGAACGGGACGCTGTGGACAAAAGCCCATGTTGGCATGGATGCAAGCTTATTGGGATAAACCGCCTGGTGCCAAGCGGAATTTGCCCACCCACAGTATGGACCCAAGCTGCGCCCCAAATTCCCAGCCCCGCCTGCGGGCGCTACTCGAAGCGGCAAAGGCTGAATCCTCAGCCAGTGGCAGATGGACGGCGGATGTTGTTTTTGGCCATCCACTACCTCCTTGCCCATGGACAGTACCTATTTGGGGGGGGGGTCCTCAATTTGGAAACGAATATATATGTATGTTTAAGCGAGTAGGCAAAAGCCACTGCGGAATTGAAACTGTCCACTTTATTCAGAGAAATTGTTTACTTATTGTGCTGTCCTATGCCCATGCCCTCAAAACAAGCAGCCCCAATGCTTATCTTCAAATGTTGGACAAACTATATTAAGCGCGCCAGCTACCAATTTAGGTCTGGAAGGGGTCCCACTCCCCACTCCCCACCAGCGCCCCGACCCAATATGCTCTCCGCTGATCCAGCCTCGGCCAGAGCTCTGGCAGTGACAAGGGTCGTGATGCTGTGGTGCTGGGGCTTATCAAAGTCAGCAACTGGGGTTGTGTGCTTCTAAACTACCACTTGGGGGTGACTTTGATGACAGTAACATGATGAGGCCAGAGTGGAGCCGGCAACAAACATAACAAACATAACAGTGCATCTGCCATCCCGACCGTCGCAGCACGGTTGAAGGTGTACAACATTCCAAGAAGCTGGAAAGAAGTTGTGAGGCAAAGCCAGAGAGAAGCGGCCCTTCGGAGCAAATCGAATCAAGACTCCGCAATGATAAGCTGGCCGCGTGGTGTCTCCACCATCGTATTCGCTGGACATGGGCGTGGAAATAGACACATTCTCCTGGCCCACGAGCAAGAGCGGGCGGGCAACCGTGAAATAGGGATACTAAGAACGGCGGATGTCCTTTTGGCTTCCCTTTCAGCACATTCCAAAAGGGATCCAACTTCACAACACACTGTTCAACACACCCAGAGTTCTGATAGATCCTACTGTGGATAGACAAAATCCTCCACCTAAGAAATCTTGGAAAGATGATTCCCCTGTAAATACCAACAAACCATGGTTTCAAGCATGGCTTCAAAGTGGTGCAGAATTTCGCCCCTCCACAATATGATCTCGGCGGCCTTTGTCGAAGCTAGCCCGGGCCATCCCTGAAACACCTTCGCGGATTGCACCAAGGGACGAAAAACCGTGACCATTCGGATGTCCACTTTTTTGAATACCACCAGGGAGGGTCCAATTTGACACATATTTATGGTGCTTGCTTCATGGAAGCATCTCTAACCTTCCTGGGACCACAGGCCCTCTCCGTTTATCCCTTGCAAGTCGGCTTGGTCCAACCCAACCAAACAAAAGAGGCCGATTTTTCGCCGCTCAGCACGGTGCCTGGCTCCCAAATGTGGCGTCCGAAATGGAGCGCTGGTCGAAGCAGTACCTGGAACACACACTCAAGGGTGAGTGCATCGAAATAGGTCCAATTTCAGACTTGGAGACAGCGGAGTATCCTTGCTTTGAACAAGTGTCTTGCCTGTGCCTCCCAGTCAAGAATCAATTCAAAGCAAGCAAACGAAAATACACCCTCGCTACCTCCAATTAGCTTGAAAAGTGCGGGAAAACGCCTAGAAGACCACTTGTTCTCTACGGGACCTTCCGGCAGCTTCCGTGTTTGTGGCTAGGGTACAAGTCCGAAACCGTAATCACAATTGCGATCTGCAAAATCATCGTTGATAGCCCGAGCATCCCCAAATTGCTAAGAACCCGGAAAAAAAAAAAAAAAAAAAAAAAAAAAACGGAGACCCGATTCGAACTTCCCGAACGGACGAAAAAATGCACGAGGCAAGCCCCCCCCCCGGAGCTGAGGCTCTTGGATCCCAGGCAAATCAGTAACTACCATCCCTCTATCACTGCTGTGGGAAGGTGCCAAATGGGTGTGGCTCAAAATTAACCAGGAGGGGCAAACCGCAGGTTTTGGTCCATGTTTCCACTTACCCAGGTTCCATTTTGGTACCGGTTTTTTGAGCCACAGCCAAATTATTTCTAGGGATTCCTTGGAAATCGACAAGCCTCTCCCAGGACACATATCAGGCCACCCATAACCCCCCCCCCCCCCCGCTCGCCCCCCCCCCCCAGCAGCGCACATGTCGCCAGACACGCCCTCCGCATCGTTGCACCACACCCTGTGCAGATGGTGGACCCTCCGTCTGCTTGGTATTTAAGGGGAAACTAAATGACCCCCTTACAATTTTAGGGTGCGTCTGCTTTCAGTGGACCCCCCGAACTGCTGGTTGTCCTTTTGGTTTCCCTTTACCACTGAATGAGAGGGTACCCTCAAAAAAAGACAAACTCATGTTGAGAAACTCCTCTTGTGTATCCCCCAATTCCTAATGGCCAAAGTGCTTTGCTTCACTCGATCCAATCGGCGAATCGGTTTCATACTCATCCCCTTTAAAAGCAACTGCAGCCAGACATCCAGCCACTCTCTCGCTCAGTGGCTAGGTCCTCCACTAGAGGGGTTGGAATAAGGGTGCCCTGTTTTCTGTAGTCTATAGGGGAACCCTCCCAAAAAAAGAAACGGTAAAAGGGCACTACTGGGGGACCTAGGTGGGGACCCACTCCTTTTGCATTCCAGTGTCGTCTCTGAGGCGCCCAGCTTCTGACTGCGCTGCTGGCGGATGACCACCGGGCCTGTCAAATCGCGAAATCGTCTCATAGGAACCGGTCCAAATGACTTGGTGTCAGGACTCGTCCCTTTGCCTTGTGCCCTGAAATACCCAAGAGAGTGCCATCTTCAGAATCTATCCATATGTTCGGGGGTGATTTTAGTGTGTTCTCTCTCTCTGGCATGTGTGTCCTAACAACATTGCAGGCGTTTGCACAGTCACTGACGCTGAACAGCATCGTTTTAACACCACTAGCATCGTGTTTAACACCCCCAGAATAACCAGCGGTTTGCTAGGGCTTTGGTTTAAGATGGGTTTAGGCTTGGTTTAGGGTTGGTTTAGCGGGGGTTCAGGGTGGATTTAGGCGTGGCTTAGAGTTTGTTCAAGATGGGTTTGGGTGGGGTTCAGGTGGGTTCGGGCGGATTTAGGTTGGGTTTAGGGCTGAGTGCAGCTTGATTTAAGGTTGCTTTAAGGTTGTTTAGAGTGGGTTTGCCCGAAACAGCCACAAAAGTCCGCAAGAAACCACAAAGCCAAAAACCAGCCCGGACAACAGAACATTACCTGAAGCAAGGCAAAACAAATGCCTGAACACAACTGGCGCTCCCTATCCGACCCAAAGAGTGCCACACGAAAGAAAGCCACTCCCATGTAGAGTTTACCCACAAACTTGCCGCCGGGCTGGAAACCGTCGGGCTTTTTTGGACCAAATCTGTGTTTCGATCAGTGCTTCCTCTTGTTTTTATCCCCAAAACACACTTAAAAAACATGTTTTTTTGGGGTCCGTGTTCTTACCTCGCTGGCAGGCGCAGCACTTCGGCTGCGAAAAGGGGACCCTTTTTGCTAGAGCCTGGAGGGGTCACTTCAATCAGGTAAATGTGTTACTTCAAGGTATCAACATGCGCATGCCCATGGCTCGAAACAGTGTTTTGAGCACGTCTTAATGAGATCTGGACGGTGGCTGAAAAGGGTATGCTTACCATTTGGCTGGCAGAGATACAAAGTGGCGAGCGAGTGCCTTATCAGTTGGCTGGCGTGGAAGCAATGTGCTGAGCGGGTGCGCGTGAGCGGGCGTGCTTGGCAGTTGGCTGGCATGGATACAGTGCTCAGCGGGAGCCCGTGAGCCGGGTGTGCTTATGATTTGGCTGGCCTGGATTCAGTGCTGAGCGCGTGAGCGGGTGTGCTTACCATAGGGCTGGCATGGATACAGTGCTGAGCGGGTGCTGTGCTTACCATGTGGCTGGCATGGACACAGTGCTGAGCAGGTGCGCGTGAGCGGGTGCGCTCGGCAGTTGGCTGGCATGGATACAGTGCTCAGCGGGAGCCCGTGAGCCGGGTGTGCTTTCCATAGGGCTGGCATGGATACAGTGCTGATCGGGTGCCTGTGAGCGGCTGTGCTTACCATTTGGCTGGCATGGATACAGTGCGGAGCAGAAGTTCTTACCATTGGCCAGGCATGGATCCGACAAACGCAACGGCTGCCGGCGCACAACTGAAAAAGAACAACCCCTTACTCCGAAACATGTGTTTTGCACTGCTCTGAAACGTAGGTTTTGCACTACTCCGAAACGTGGATTTTGCGCTGACGGTTAACAGCCCGACAGCACAAACATGGAAGTGCAACACCAAACTTTCCTGCCGGTGTGCAAGAAGACATTTGCCCACTTCCCGTTCGGGCGGCTCACTGGCCGTAAGCTGCCCATTGCCGAGGCCTACCACTTGGTTGTAGGTCAGCACGCGGCTCCACCTCGG